CTGCTTGGCCTGCTGTGTTCATCCAGCTCTACACCTTGTTATCTCAGATTCTCCAGCATCTGCAGTTCCTACTATCTCTAACTACAAGGCTGAGTGGGTTATGGAGTGGTAAAGGGAAATGGGTAGGTAGGAAGGCGAGAGAAGTGGGTAGGGAGGCAAAGGGGAATTAGGTAGGGAGGCTGGGGGACTAGGTAAGGAGGGGAGGGGGAGTAGGAAGGGGATGGGGTGGCAAAAGGAGTGGGTAGGGAGGTGAGGGTGAGTGAGCAGGGGGAGGCAAGGGGAAGTGGGTAGAGAGGTGAGAGGGAATGAATAGGGACAGAGGAGGGGGAGTAGGTAGGAAGGTGAGCGGGATTGGGCAGAGGGAGGTGAGCAGGAGTGGGCAGAGGGAGGTGAGCAGGAGTGGGCAGAGGGCGGTGAGAGGGAGTGGGCAGAGGGCGGTGAGCGGGATTGGGCAGAGGGCGGTGAGCGGGAGTGGGCAGAGGGAGGTGAGAGGGAGTGGGCAGAAGGAAGTGAGCAGGAGTGGGCAGAGGGAGGTGAGCGGAAGTGGGCAGAGGGAGGTGAGGCATGGACTGAGGTGAAGGGGAGTGGGCTAGCAGATGAAGGGGAGCAGGCAGAGGGACGTGAGGGGGCAGGAGGAAAGGCGAAGGCCACAGGGTGTTGGGGTGAGGCAAGAAGACAAAGAAGGATAGCAGGCAATGGTGGAGGGGCAAGGAGGTAGGTGAGGGAAGTGAGAAGGAGTGGGCGATGGGGGCAAGACAGTTGGAGTGGGTGTCGGAGGTACAATGGGTGATGGGGTGTTGGTCGGGGCTATGAGGGGTGTGGGCAGGAATGGGTGCAGGAGCTGCTCCCTTCACCCCTAACCTGGTCATGTTAGATGCTTTCTCAAGACCCATTTTCATTACAGACCTGTAGCAGCCAAGATGGCATTAAAGAGAATCACTCCTTATTTGAGCAGGAAGAATGCAGAGGGCAATGTAGAGAATGACACTAAGTGAGATGTATGGGGATAAATGGTCTTATTCTGTGCTGCACTAATTCTGTGATCAAATGTACACCCATGATATTGTAATGTATGGATGAAAGACAGTCTTCCGGGCTGACTCTGAGGCAACTGTGGTTTCCTGTCCTCGGTCGTCATACCATCAGTTAGCTAAACACTCTGGAATTTACTCCCTAAATGTCTCTTCCTATCTCCTTCATTAATACACTTCTTAAAACCAACTTTTTTGAACAAGAGATAGTAGGAACTGCAGTTGCTGGAGAATCTGAGATAACAAGGTGGAGAGCTGGATGAACACAGCAGGCCAAGCAGCATCAGAGGAACAGGAAAGCTGATGTTTCGGGCCTAGACCCTTCTTCAGGAAAGCTGACATTTCAGGCCTAGACCTTTCTTTTTTATGAAGAAGGGTCTAGGCCCGAAACATCAGCTTTCCTGTTCCTCTGATGCTGCTTGGCCTGCTGTGTTCATCCAGCTCTACACCTTGTTATCTCACATTCTTTGAACAAGATTTTTGTCCCAGAACCTCACTTGGCTGTGGTGTTGAAAATCACCAGCTGTGAAGCACCCACCAAATGTTTTACCACAGGCAGAATTTCCACCACTGTACAGTTTGTCAGCAACATCCTGCACCTCTCATCCAGACCATTCTTCCAGAGGTGAGATGAAGGGTCAGTGCACAGGGCCAGTTGTCCATAAGCCAGAGACATACATGGCTGTTTGAGGCCACTTCATCAGAGTCAGAGCTGTGGGTCAGGCCTCCAAGCAATGCTTGAGATTTTCCTTCCCAGCAGGCCACAGCCCTGGGCACCAGCCTGAAAGTGGAGGTTCCCCCTCTCTTATTACCTGAAATGGTGACTTGCAGCTTCCTCTGTGCACAGCAGCCTCCTATTGCCTTGCAGATTTAAGATATCACACCCTGTCTTAACTGGGCAGTGATATGCCCTCTAGCCACCAGATGGACAGTTCAGGGAAGGTCACTGCTGAGTGATTATTCCTCTCACAGTGCTGGATTAGGATAGCCATTTGATTGCAGCATTGGGTTCCCAACCCAAAACTCAAAGTCCTTCAAATCCCACCACTACCATCTTCAGTCTGAGATTCTCTTTCAGACATTGCGCTGGCTTGTTTGAGAAAGAAATCTCTATCGCTACTCTAGATGTGAGATGTTTTTGATTTATAACATATCTTACAGCCTTCGGACATCCTACTGCATTTTATAGCCAATGCAATACTTTTGAAGTGTGGCAACTGGTGTAATCTGGGAAACACAGGAACCACAACAATTTGTGTACAGAACGGTCTTATAAGCAACAATGCGATAAATGACATGATTTTCTGCCTTTTAGTGATGTTAGTTGAAGGATAAATATTGCTGGGACACGAGGGAGTATTCCACTGTTCACAAAACAGTCCCATGGGATGTTTTAGATCCATGTAAGACAGTAGATGGTGGCCTCGCTTTAACATGTCACCCAAAATAAATTATCTCTGCCATATTAATTTGTAACTTTCAAAGAGCTAGCACAACCCAGAGCCAAATGACATCTTTCTGTGTTGCATATTTCAGTGATTTTAAACTGGTTGCATTGACACAGTACCTGACCAGGTTGGCAGAACTCATCATAGACAATTATCCATCTTGGAAGCACAACTATTGTCCTGTAGATGATCATGGTTGACGAGTTTTTCACGTTTCACAAATAGAGAATAGGATGCCTCTCTTCTTTTGTTTCGTCCACTAAGTGTCTCTTGTCATGAAATAACCATCAGTCCCTGGTAAGTGTCACTGCTAAATCGATTGGCTTGCACTAAAGTGGAATTGCCAACCACTTTAAAAAGAATCTGTTTCTTTTTTTGCCAATCAGTATTTCCAGAGAAGAATTTCTGGTGTTAGTTTCACTCATGTTGATAAAGGCAGGAATATTTGCTCATTAGTATAAAGGTAAAGTCATCAGAGGAACATAGAGCTGCTTACTCATGAGGGAGAGGAAGATGACTAATGGTGAGTTTGACCTGCAGGTCACCACTCCTCAGGCAAGGGGAGAGGTTGAGATGGCAGGACCTTCATAGTAACCTCAGATGGTGGGGTTTTGAACCTGCACTCTTGGCATCACTCTGCATTGCAAACCAGCCATCCAGCCAATTGAGCTATAGCAAAAGCAATATGTCATTCAGCACCTTGAGCTTCTTTCCATAAAATCCACACAGTGTGGAAACAGGCTGTTTGACCCAACAAGTTCACACTGACCCTTGGAACATCCTGCCCAGACCTATCTCCCTAATCTATACATCCCTGAACATTATGGGCAATTTAGTATGGCCAATCCACCTAAGCCTGCACATCTTTGGACTGTGGGAGGAAACTGGAGCAGCCCCATGCAGATACAGGGAGAATGTGCAAACTCCACATGAGCACTTGCCAGAGGGTGGAATTGAACCAGGTCCCTGATGCTGTGAGGCAACAGGGCTAACCACTGAGCCACCATGCTGCCCCCTTATATTTACCATTACATGATGGCTGATCTTCCTGTACACCAACTCTATCCAAATTTGCATCATATTTCTCAATTTCCTTAATGAACAAAGAATTATTGATTTCAGTCTTGAGAGCTCCAATTGATCCTCAGCATCCACAGTGATCTGGAGCATTCCATATTTCCATGACCTATAGCAGAGGAAATAGTTTCCCTGCATCAATTTTTCATGTTGACATTTGAACTCACAGGTGAACCCCCCAAAGCATTCCTCCAATCCTGGGTTCTTCAGCATTCCCAATTTTCATTGTGCTCAGCATTTGGTGATCATGCTTTCAGATGCTCTGGAATTCTAAGGTTTAGTGTAAACCTTCTGTTCACCAATTTTAATTCATGCTCTGTTCCACCAAAACCACTTAAAAAAAAGTAGGTAAAATACAAATACTGGAAACTTGAGATTGACAAAAGAAAATATCTGTCAGGATTTGTGTAATGGTAGATCATGGAATAACACAGAGAAAGGCCTTTCAGTCCATTGTACCTACATCAATTCTTTGAGAATTCTGTTTTGTTTCA